CTCCCTCGCGGTTGGGTTCGATCTCCCGTGGTGGTCGGCAATCTCGGGTGCAGGTCTTCGCTGCACACAGCGTTGTGGGTATCGATTGGTGAGTTTTTATTGATGCAAAAGCACTAACAGCAGCAGTTTGCGGCTTTCGACATCTACCCATAACCATTAGAATCTCGACATACGCAACCCAAATCCATTCGAGTTAGGCTGGAGTTACCCGCACCTAAACAAAGTCAATTTTGCCGTAATAGACGTTGCAAGACCCCTTATAATGGATTTCGATGGCTGGAATTTTTGTTTTAATTATTTTTGTTTGTCTATTGATGCTTAGGTGTTGAATCAACGCAAGATTTAGGAGCGTAGCAGTGAGTAAGTAGCACCAAGGGGTGGGTGCGTGCGTTATGGAGTGTTAATGGAATGGTTGCATGCTGATTTTTATTATGTTAATTTATCTCATGAATAAAGTAATTGTGAGGCTTGGTTTGTGAACTACTAGTGGATGTTGTTGGGTTGCATGTTGCTGTTTTTTTTTATATACATTATGAAAACGTATCGCTTTTGATTGTTGGATATGACTGGAACGTTTTTTATTAGTATGGTTGGGAGTGATTAATCTCTGACGCTTGAAAACATGTTTGAGATGAAACACATGTGTAGATTTATATTATTTAGTTGTATGGTTGCTTAGTTGGAAGCTGTTGGGTTATTGCTTTTGCTTTGTACAATGAAAACCATGCTGGAAAAATTGTGTTGTGACTAGAAGGGTGAATGGCTTATAGATGTCTTGGAGGGATTAGTTGGAGTTGTCTAGAGTGGTGGAACGAACTAGTTGCTTGTTGTTCTGTGATATGTCTGAAGTGAAAATGCATATTTGTCGTTTGGTTATTCAAAGCCCTTACAGTGGGTGACCTGGGGTTTATGTGATAGAATCCTAGTGGAGGATTATGATTCAAATGTGTGGTCTATCGTGTGATGAAAAGTGGATATACGAGTTTCATGGCCTCGTGGACAATGGCCGTGGCGGTTACGTCACTTCGGGGTGTCGAGGCTCCGGGAGCAAAAGGCCGGGGGTTGACAGACTAGTCTTGGTAGAGATGAGTGTCGAGACTCCAGGTACAAAAGATCGAGGGTCGGCATGATGAGTCTAATTGATGATGAGTATTGGGTCTTGACGTGGTGGCGGTCAAGGACCAATACGTTGAGTAGTCGTCGGGCCCTTGGGGATAAATGTCAAGGGTCGATGCACAGTTCAAGGCCTTGGGGATAATGGCAATGTCGAACACCAAGTTTCTGTAGGGTCGATACGACTCGAAGAGTTAGACTTGGAGGACTAACATAGTGTGATGGTTATGAGCAACAGTTCAAGACCTTGGGGATAAATGCCAAGGTCGAACGCCAAGCTTCTGTAGAGGGATGTCGGTACCCTGGGGATAAATGTCAAGGGCTGATATGCCTCGAAGAGTTAGGATTAAAGTACTAACTCAGGGTGTTGGACGATATGCAACTCGAGGGAGCTAGAGACTAGTGGGATGGTGACCGAAGCCAAG